CCAGCTCTGCTTCCCGCCCCCCCATCCTCCTGGCCAGCCCCGCCCCTCTCCCGGCCGGTTCCTCCCCCTCTCCCCGCCCATGATCAAGTGTGTCTGGTTTTTTGGGGGGGGGTTCTACCTGGTAACCCTATTCCCACCAGGGTTTTTAATGGAGAACCTCGTACTGTATCTGAGGGCTGGAGAAAGGGTTTGGTGAGACTGCGGGGTAGTTTGGACTGACAGTGTCTGTCTCTCCTGCATGTGTCTCTGGAGACGATACAACGCTAGCAGGGGCAGTTGGTTGTGCTGAGGGGAGTGGGGAAGCCTCAGCACATGGAAATCACCCGATCTTGAATGTCCCATCACTTATTCTGCACAAGGATGCGTGAGCCAAGGGCTAAGCCTTGTAGAAAATTTTCCATTACAACTTTTTGTGTGTGTGGTAAAATCAGGTTTCTGACTCAAACAAAATGTGTGTGGTAAGGGTCTGCTTTCCTGAGAAACACTCGATATTTTGCAAGAGAACCCCAAACACCCAAAATGTATTAGTTTCGCAACAAGACATTGGATTATTCCATAGAAAAAGAACCCATGGGCCCATCTTCAGGCCAGGCCCAAGGCAGCTGGCTGCGCCATGCAGCTGGGTGGCTCCCAGCCAGGGCAGTGGGTGGTCAGTTGGGCACCAAGCAGTGTGAGGCCCTGAAGGCGTGGGGCCAAAGGCAACTGTCTTCCTTGCGGTTCCCTAAGGCCTGCCCACCTTTCTCCACAAGGCACGAGCCAAGGGGAGAAGAGAGTAAGGAAAGAAGGAGGAAAGAGCAGGGTTCTGCAGCTGGTACAGTTCAAAAGAGGGAGACTTTTTAAAAAAATCCCCCAAACAAAAAACAAACCAATCAGCAGGTTGTGACTCATTTCACTGGAACACTCAGCAAAATCCCTGGTCCCAAGAGATGCTGTAGCATCCACCTATAAGGCTATGTCTACACTGCGGTTTTTTTGCAGAAGAGGATATGCAAATGGCATGCTCATTTGCATATCTTCTTCCAATTCTTTTTGCGGAAGCCCCGTGTAGGTGGGACCATTTGTTGGGGGAAAAAAACCCTTTTTCGCAAGATCCTGTAAACCTCGATTTTTGAGGCATAAGGGATCTTGCGAGAAAGGGTTTTTTTCTGCCAAATGGCCCCATCTACATGGGGCTTTTTAGTGCCAAAAACCTCTTCCACAAAAAAAACACAGTGTAGACATAGCCTAAGTGACTCCGGAATGAGGGAAACCAGGCAGGCCTGCTAAGAGAGACACAGAGAGGGTCACACTGGACCATGGCCTGAGATGAGCAGAAGGTTGGAAGGAAGCATGAGGCCCCTGGCATGGTGACAGCTGGCGAGGGATGCCTTGGCACAGCCCCGCTCCAGTTTTCTCCTGAGGAGTTGGGTGGTTTCGCTGTGTTCTTTGGAAGGCTCACCTAGACCGCCCCGTGATTAGGATCCAGCAGCCACAGGAACGCCGGAATAACAAGACAGCTCCATTTGTCTGTCACCTGCAGCCAGATAGTTCTCAAGAGGGGGCTAAGGGGCAGAGGGGTTTGGCTCTGGGCAGGGGGGAAGGCAGGAGGTTTGAGAAGGGGAGTAAACCCCACAAGCCGGGATCTTCATCAGCCTCAAACTGGCACAAGGGCCGTTGAAATGTGAACTGAAAGGGTCCTGCTCCCGCCCGACACACTGGGGCTGCACAGGGGTGGTCTGGGGGCTGGGAGGGGGTGGGTAACCATACAGCTAGGGAGATGGGGGGCGGACCTAGGAGTCCTTTCTGGTCTCGGCATCACTGTGCTAATTCTGGGCTGTTTGGACAGGACGTGGCCTGCAGGACAAACCCCCGCCATGCCGCCTCCATCCCTGAAGATGCTCCTCCTCGTCCTCGCAGGTGAGCGTGCGATTGGGTGTGGCTCTTTGCTGGCATGCAGGGCCATGCTAAGGGGGCCGTGGAGCCTGGGGCGATCGCCCTCCCCCGCAGGGCTCCCCATCCCTGCTCCACCCCTTTCCCCAAGCCCTGCCCCTGCTCTACCCCCGCTCTGCTCCCTCACCCCGTTCCCCGAGCAACACGGCCTGAAGGCTCACAGGGAGCCTGGCGCGGCAGTAGCAGCAATAGCCACCCCCCCGGCCCACACTCATCATGCAGGCGGCAGGAGCCAGAATGGCCCAGCAGCCAGCTCCACCCCACCACGGTGTCCTCTCCCTGCCTGCCTGTTCCCTGCTTCTCCGCCGTGCCAGGAAGTGGACTGTCCTGGGTCCAAGACGTTCCACTTCCCCCTGCCACGGAGACGCCAAGCGGCTCTCACCGCCCACAGAGTGAGTGGGGGTGCGACCCCTTCTGTCGCCCCGCACCAGGCCCCCGTAATTCCCCGGGTCCCTCCCGTCCATAGGACTGTTGGGGTGGCTGCTGCAGGGCCCCCAAAAGCACAGGGCCTGAGGCGGCCCCCTGATTCATCCTGTGGGCGGGGTGGCTCTGCTGACACGTGTGGATTCCCTAAGGATGCTTCCTGCCACGGGGACAGAACCAGCGGGACAATGGGGCTGGGATGAACACGAACACGAACACACACGTAGTTGTGCATCCCCTTCCAATGCACAGACATCCACCCCACCCCTCCACAGGCAGACCCAACAGCCACGCCCGCATCCCTGTTTAAAGTGCTCTCTCCCCTGCTCTGGGCAGGTGAGGTACTTGTAGCCTCGCCTGGGCCCTCTCCTCCGCCACACCCCACACAATGCTTTAGGCATCCAGAGGTGGGGGCTGAATTGACTCCTGCATGTGCCCTGCAATTCCAGGCTGCTTCGTCAGCCAGGCACACGTGTGTGCGGGCGAGTCGGAGCCAAGAGCGCAGCTAGGAAGCCGGCGGCAAGGGAAGTGTCAGGAAGCGACACAGGAAGCAATTCAGGAAGATGTTGCCTCCTGTATCGCTTCCAAGGGATTTCCTGGAACGTTTATTTTTGCTCCTCTTTAAAACAAACAGACCAAAAAAGTGGTCCGGTCTCATCCATGTCTCTCGCCACGTGGCTCCGTGGGACCAGAGCCAAGTGGGAGGGAGCTCCCTAGCAGACCACCTGTCACAGCTAATGCCTGACCCTTCTGGGCCTTCAGGAGATGCATTGGAGCCCTCCGGTGACAAGGGAGTGCGGCAAAATTGAGCTGGTGTCACTTCTGTGACATCGACATTTGGACTCAGGGTTTTCGGTCTAAATGAACCGGAGCAAGGGGGCTGCTGGGAAGCATGACCATCCATGATGGACCCTTGGGCTGCCTCCTGGGCAGCTTCTCAGAGCTCTGTCCACCCCAAAAGAGCCCCCTCTGAGGTCCCAGGGGCAGGTGTTGGCATCATGGCGTAAGATGCTGAATTTGCCTTAGTGCATCCACGTTTTCAAAGGCTGGCTGCTGACTCACACCTGGACCGTTTGCATGCTCACTGGCTGTACCGTTGCACCCCAAATTTGCACATGCAACGTGAGCAGTGTGCACCGTTGCCTGTTACGTGTGGGAGGTGGTCCTTTAGGTTATAGCACACTGTCGGAAGTCAGGAGGATCTGGGTTCTAATCCCAAATTAACCACAGACTCGTGAGGTGACCTTGCCTGTGTCTCTTAACCATGCTGCGGGGGCTCCATTTTCCCACCTGTAAATAGGGGCAAAACCACTTACTTACCCCAGCATTGTTCTGAGGCTGAATGCATTAACGAGTGTAACGGGGAAAGCGTTAATTCTGATGCTCTGCTTAATGCGGATGGCAGAGATGGTGGGTCTGGAGGATTCATTCAGAACTTGTGGTTTCCAAAGGCAGCAGAAGGATTTTGACCTGCCTTCTCACTCCGATGAATGGGGGTTGTTTGTCTACATATTCTTGCCAGCTCCCAAACCCCCGGGAGGGGGGCAGCAGCAGGTGGGTGCGCTCATTACCAGTGGCTGTGCAGGCGACAGCGGGAGTTCCCATGCTGCTGTGTGGCTTGCACGCATACTGGAGTGGTGGTTTCATTCCTGAATGTCACAACAGGTTACTTACCGTTGTGACGGACCAGGCTGGGTCTGGGCTCGGCTGAGGGCGTCTGCTCAGGGCGAATTGCTCAAACTCAGGTCTCCTTACAACCCTCAGACTGGGGACCTTCCCAAATTGGCCACAAACCCATCACACCAAGCGCTTCAGCTGCCAATCTGGCCAGCCTGAAGCCTCCAGAGCAAAACCCCTCAGACACTCCAGCTCTTCCTGTGCCCCAATCAGCTTCAGGCCTAACACACAGGCGAGGGGTTTTAGAACCCAATCTCACCTACCCCAAATGGGTTTTTCCCGTCCCAAGAAACCAGCCACAGTTCCCAGGTCAGTTTACACTCTGGATCTTACCCACAAGACCACGCTAAGACAATCCTTTAGAATTTACAATCTAAAGGTTTATTAATAAAAGAAAGAAAAGCATGAGAGTGAGGTTGTTAAAGAAAATACATTACGTGCATCGAATCATCCAGTTCTCCATACAGGCTCTTAGCAGAGATGTTATAAACTGCTATCTTAAAAGTCTCTGGCGTACATCCTATGTCAGGATGGGTCCACAATTCTTTCCGGCTTGTTGTTCCCTGCAAGGCTGCATCTGGGATCAGGAGCTAAACTGAAGACCAGATGGAGGGTGCCACATGGCACTTACGTACCTCCCCTGGCATCTTCCTGGCCAGAGAAGGTCACATGGTCCAACGACCTATCCCTGTGTCCCATGCTGGCAGCCCTTCAGCCCTGGCTGGTTTGCAGTTGTCAGTCACATTCCTGAGGTGTGTATGGCACCTAGCGATTCATTGTCCCTGGAGCCGAGCTAATTAGCACAGTCACCGGCTGAACGTTCTTTGCCTATTGCTCTGCCTCCGACAGAGAATTTTCCAGCATCCCTGCAGAGAACGTTTAAACTCCACATACAGATATCACACAAGTACATGAATCACATATACAGAATCAGTAGAACACAAGCTTTCATGTGCCACCTCACATGGCCCCCTTTGTATACACTTTGGGGCAAACACCCCCCCATGGGTGCAGCAGTGATCTGGCTGCTCCCCTTAAAATCCAGTAACGTGACAACCGTTACAAATCAAATGGTCCTGCTGTAGGCCCTGCGCCAGCTCCCTCTGAGCTCACTGGCTCCGCTGCCGCCCTCTGATTGAGTCCGTACGCTCTCCTAGGTTTGCCCGCCACGGCCTCCACAGGCACCACGCTGCGCATTTCGCCCAGCGACCCCGAAGTCGTCCTCCCTCTCTCAAGCAACTTTTCACTGACGTGCTCGGGGGAGGCCGAGGTGATCTGGGAACGAGACATGCAGCCCATCGCCGCCTCGCCCGAGCAGCGGGACGGCACCTTCACCAGCACGCTCACGCTCTGGGACGTGACGGGCCTTGACACGGGGGAGTACGCCTGCAGCTACAACCACTCCCAGAAGCCCATGGAGAGGAAGGCCGTCTATGTCTTTGTGCCAGGTAGGGGACAGAGCACCCCCGTCTCCTCTCTGGGTGCAGCTGAGGAGATGGAGGCCCGTGGAAAGGTGGGGCTGAATTTTAGATTGCGCCTCACACTGACGATAGGTTCGTCTGCTCTCGCAGTGGGGGCTGGGGGATGACAGGACGTAAGATAATGACTGACATGTGGGAGGCTAGAGTCACCTGTCTGCACTGGCGTGCCTCTGAAGCCCCCTCCCCAGAGGCAGGGTGCAGATTATTAGAACTAAGACTCCCGCAGGTGAAGGGTGAGGGTGGGGGAGCTCATTGGAAAGAAAAAGTGAGTGAAATGCACCAGGTGGAGAACAAAGCACACAGCTCCAATGGCCCATGTGCCTAGCGATAACCCCAGCAGCTCTGGGAGTGCTGGAGGGAATGCCCCTGGCGTTCAGCATGTCCGTCTGCAAGTAGAAGTGCGATCCCATCCCTCGGCAAGTGGGAAGTCACAATCAGGGCCGCAAAGCCAGCTCTTCTGTCGCTCTCGTCAGTGCTTTTTTAGTTAAAAAAAAAAAGTGCCATTACTCCAGCCGAAAGTTGTTGAGCAAAAAAAAAAAAAAAAAAGCTGGGGTGGGGCTGGCATTGCCCTTTTAAAAAGCCAGGGTGGGACTGGCATTGCCCTTTTAAGATATACAGTCCCTTTAAGACACGTGGCCCAGCTGACTGTCAGACATTTGCGTACAGAGGTGCCGGTGTGCTCCGTTCGTTCCAGGTAAGCTCTGGGCAGTGCCATCACAAAAAAAGCACTGGCTCTCATAACCGGATTGCCTTCCTCCTTTCCCTTCTGCAGACCCCTCCTTGGTCTTCCTCCCCCCCGGCCCCGAGGACTCCTTCATCTTCATCATCGGCTCCAGCGAGGCCACCATCCCGTGCCGCGTGACCGACCCTCAGGCCACGGTGACTCTCTATGAGAAGAAGGTCAAAATCCCGATTCCCGCAGACTATGACAGGCAGCAAGGTTTCAAGGGGTTCTTCGAGGACAAGACCTACATCTGCAGCGTGACGCTGGGCGAGCGGGAGGTGCACTCCGACCCGTATTATGTCTACAGAATCCAGGGTGAGCCGCTTCGTAGGCCTGCCTGGGGGGGGGGGTGGCTCAGAGGGGTCAAGGCTGGTCTGTGTAAAGCCGTGGTAGGCAAGCTGTGGTCTGCAGGGCCCCCACAGCTCATTGGGATTCTATGTGTGGCCCATGAGATACTTTGTTTACTGTTGCCGATGCACAAATGTGCCAGATTCTGCTGGTTTCCATCCGTGTCGTTTTTTCCTACCAGTGTGATTAAAGTGACACACACACAGGAGCGGCCTGAGGCCGGCTGATCGGCACCCCCGCCTGCACGGCTGTCAATGGCCGTGACGTCATCATCGGGCACCCGGGCCCGCAGCACCCTAGGCAACTGCCTAGTTTGCCTAGGTCCACGGGCCGCCCCTGCACACACATAGTGCAAGGGCACGTGAAGTGAAGTGCGTGCTGATTGCACACTGACTGTGAGAGCCGTGCGCTGTCTCTGCACCCAATCAAAGTGCTGCTCCCGTTCAATCCCCACACCCCGCAAATTCTAGGCATGCAAGCACAGTGAGCAACACTGCCCTGTCCCGAGAGACTGTCTTGGTTCCGGCAATCTTACGGCCCACTGAGATGGAGGAGGGCCCCTCATGCAGCCCACTCACTAGCCTAGGTTGCCGTCGCTGGTCTAAGGGCAGCTGCAGCCCCCCTCCGGGTTAAATATGGACTCCCTGCCTCATCTAAGGGCTGAAAGCCTCCGGCTCTTCCCTGGGAGAGGCTGGTGCTGCACCTTGGTTGGCTCACAGCACTGCAGCTAGAGGCAGGTGGCAGGATTCGGGCACTGCTCTCTCTGGGCTACGATTTGCCATCGTTTACCAAGGTTCCGTCTAAGCTGCGTGGGCCCTGCAGCCGCGTAAGGAGCTCCGTGAATGAGCCCCACCAAGGGGCTCAGGGCTACCACACGGAGCTGCCTATTTAGGGGAGGGGCACGTCTCCCTCAGCGACAGCAGCAGCTCCCTGCTGGGGACAGAGCAGCGAGTCTGTCCCGGCCCGTAGGGAGGGGACATGTCCCTACCGACTGGAGAAACTCGCTGCTCTGAGCTGCTGCTGGCGCTGATGGAAAAGCGCCCCTCCCCCTGCCAGGCAGCTCCATCTGGAGCCCTGAGCCGCTGGGGCCGTGCTGCCGTGCAGGTTAGAGGGAACCCACCTCTCCACTGGCCTCACCAAAAGGAGCTTGCTCCCTGGTAAATCAAAGCAGAATCTAGGCCTGTGGGCTCACTGAGGCTACGGCTACACTGCCGGGTTTTTTCAGAAGAAGATATGCAAATCGTGCTCGCATTTGCATATCTTCTTCCAGTTCTTTTTGCGGAAGAGGTTTTGCTGCTATTCGGCCCCCTGTAGACGAGGCCAAATGTTGGATGAAAACCCTCTTTCACAAGACTCTGTAAACCTCGATTTACGAGGAATAAAGGGTCTTGCGAAAGATGGGTTTTTTCTAGAAGGGGCCAAATAGCGGCAAAAACTCTTCCACAAAAAGAATCAGAAGAAGATACGCAAATGCGAGCGCGATTTGCATATCTTCTTCTGGAAAAAAAAGAAGAAGATATGCAAATGCGAGCACGATTTGCATAACTTCTTCGGAAAAAAAATGGCAGTATAGCCATAGCCTCAGTTTCCAGACTCTCCTCTCAGGACCAAACCCCTCTCCCCAGCCCGGTTCTCCCTGTCCAGAGCTGCTCCCAGTGACAAGCTCCAACGATGGGCATTGGGCCCGCGCACGCCTTCCCTGCTCAGCCTGCAGCTCCCGCTCCTGGGGAAGGGGACATGCTCACAGGGCCGTGAAGTGGGCACGAGGCGGAGCAGGTCCGAGCCCCGCTGGAGTCCCTCCTGCAGAATTCCCTGGGTTCCCCAGGAGCACATTAAGATCACATTGCTGCCCCACGCCAGGGCGCTGGTCGGAGCATGGGACATTTTGTCATTGGACTCAGCTGAGATCATAATCCCTGGGCATGTGTGTGTAGTGGCCAGCGCCCTGTACCGCGAGGCGCTGCGTGGCCAGAGAGAACAGAGGCCACCTCTGCCCCAGAGAGCTTCCAGGCTCGTTGAAAGACGAGACGCAGGCAGGGCAGTAGCGGGAAGCAATGAGACGATCGTGTCGGTGGGGTAGGCCGGGGTCCCAGCTTTGATTCACCCCTGGCTGTGTCCCTCCCTCCTCTCCAGTCTCCTCCCTGAACGTTTCCATCGGGGCGGTGCAGACCATGGTGAAGCGAGGCGAGAACATCACAGTGATGTGCACCGTGAGCGACAACGAAGTGGTCGACTTCAACTGGTCTTACCCTCGCAAGGAGGTGAGTGTAACCGGCCTGGCAGCTCCTCCCTTTGCCCGCTGTGCCAGGGCCACGTAGCAGTGTCAGGCTGGGCTGCCTCCTTCATGGCAGGAGCCCCCAGACCTGGCACCCCCATGAAGCGAGGCGAGAACATCACAGTGATGTGCACCGTGAGCGACAACGAAGTGGTCGACTTCAACTGGTCTTACCCTCGCAAGGAGGTGAGTGTAACCGGCCTGGCAGCTCCTCCCTTTGCCCGCTGTGCCAGGGCCACGTAGCAGTGTCAGGCTGGGCTGCCTCCTTCATGGCAGGAGCCCCCAGACCTGGCACCCCCA